AGAGAGAGAGAGAGAGAGAGAGAACGGGACTCGACACACTTTCGATGAGACTTGGAAATATTCGTGCAGCAATCAAGTTATGGTGAACAAAATTATGGTGGTGATTTGTAACAAAACATGAGTTTTTGTGTTGTTACAGGATGTAAACATCGAAAATTGTAGAAAAATGTCTAATAAGAGGAAAAAAAATATACTAGACTATTTGCTTTCATTTCATTCGTAAATATATAAACTTTTATCGCATGTAATACGGTTTATACATATGAAAATTATTTTTAACGTTTAACTTATTTATTATTGGTAGATTTCCAAAGAACAATGAAAACCGGCAAAAGTGGTTAGAGAAGCGTTGAAGTTANGTAATTATAATCTATCAAAATGAAGTGCTGCATGCTCTGCTCATTTTAGGAAGACTGATTATGATTCAAATTGCGTAAAACGCTGAAAACAAACGCTGTTGCCATTTGTAACTAAAAACTTCTATTTTTAATAATATTTATTACAATAATAAAATTTTTTCGCAATATTTTAAAAATTAATTAGGGGGGTATACGGGGTCTTTCATATATGTGATGCAAACCTAGCATCCTATATGATTTAAAGAATTGTTTCATTTCAGTCCAAAAAACTCACGTGAAAAATTTACACGTGAATGCATATATAAAAATGCATATATATAAATGTATGCATACGTATACATATATACGCACATCATTTCCGCACAACATCCTGCGATCAGCTCTTACTGACCAGACTTACATAGGGTGAAAGACCCAATTACTGACAATGTCCCTAATACTGTCAATTGAAATTGAAACGAATTTTATATAATTGTTATATACATTACATATATATATATATGTAATGTATATAACAATTATAATGTATATGACAAGTATTTTACTTATATTGAGTTTGATACGTACCTAATTAGAATTCTATTTTTCATTACCAGCAAGAAATATTAAATTTCTTGCTGGCAGCATTTATACTCATACCTGCAATATATATATAAAGTCGCTACTATTATTTTTGTATATTTATTGTTTTTATTAGTAACAATATGAGTGGAAAACATCCGAAAAAAAGGTATTTGTACACCACAGATGCTGTACAAGAGGCATTAACTGCAATAAATGCAGGTATCAGTATAAATGNTGCCAGCAAGAAATTTAATATTTCTCGTACAACTTTAGACGCAAAAAAAAAGAAATTGTACGCAGAAAAGAAGCCTGGACCACTAACAGTTCTTTCAAATAAAGAAAAAAAAACATTANTAGACTGGATATTTTATTTAAGTCGAAAAGGTTTTCCGGTAACTAAAAACTAATTATTAGATAGTGTTCAAATACTTATTAAATCTCTGCAAAGAAAAAATACATTTGTCAATGATCGGCCTGGACGTCATTGGTACCAAGGTTTTATGCAACGACATCAAAACGTTGCAAAAAGAATGACTGAAAATTTGACATTTCGTCGAGCTGAAGTTACTGAAAGTGCTCTGAGAANTTGGTTCGATGAAGTCACTAATTATTTAAATTCTAAAGAACTATCAAATATTGCATCCGAAAGAATTTTCAATTGTGATGAAGCGGCTTTTCTACTTAATCCTAAAGATTCATCTGTATTGGCAGAAAAAGGGCAAAAATATGTATACAAGGTAGTTGGTAATAATGAGAAAGAAAACGTCACAGTTTTTTTTTACTGGTAATACAGCTGGTATACTAGCTCCACCTTTGGTACTATTCTCTTACAAGCGGATACCAAATTATATAGCATCAAAATTGCCAGATGGTTGGAGCTGTGGCAGATCAGATAACGGATGGATGGTCGCAGCCAATTTTTATGAATATATTACAAATGTATTCCATCCATGGCTTATCCGAAGCGGAATACCTTTTCCAATAATACTTTATTTGGATGGTCATACTTCACATTTGATAAAATATTTGAGCGATTTTTGCACCACACATGGAATAGAGCTAATTGCTTTGTATCCCAATGCAACACATATTCTTCAGTCAATGGATGTGTCAGTATTCAAGCCTATAAAAATGATTTGGAAAACTACTGTTAGTAAATATCGTATAGAAAAAAAGCAATCAGCTGTGACGAAGGAAGACTTTGGATTATTGTTAAATAATGCTTTAGACACTGTTCAGATATCTAAATGCCTACAAAATGGGTTTCGAATTTGCGGTTTATATCCACTCAATGCAAATGCTGTTGATTATTAAAATTATACAAAACATACGTTTGACTTGCAAAAGAATTTAATTGCTAAACCTGATTCTTCAGATTCTATGCTATTCCAAGACATCCAAGACAATTCCCAAAAACAAAGTGAAGTAAATTTATTATTTGAAAACTGCGACAATTATCTAAATGAAAATCAAGAAATTAATCATCTTTTACAAAATCCATTACTTGCCAACCGCGAATGTTACTTAAACGAAAATCAACAAAATAAACAAATTCTTCAAGAAATAACAAATCAAAACAATTTGAAATCGAAAGTGCCTTCTCCGTTTAAGGAACCATTATTTTGGCCAGAAGAAAAAGAAACAAGTAAAAGAAAAGCTAAAGAAAAAATACCATCAGTTGTGACATCCGAACAGTGGAAGAAATATCAGGCTGATAAAAAAAAAAAAGAAAAAATTACAAGAAGAACAAAAAGAAATGCGAAAAAAAAATTAGACTCGAAAAAGTAAAAATAAAAAAAGAACTTGATGCTAAATTAGATGCTAAAAATCCAATACTAAAAAAATAAATAAATAAAAGAAAAAAGTATTGTTATCTATACTGTACTACATAACACTACACTTTTGTATATTATATATGTATGTTTACTTTTATAATAAATTTATATAACTATATAAACTTGTAATTTTATTTTTTAATGCTTACCTTTTCTTTTCACAAAAATTTANATTAAAAAATTCAGTTTAAAGTAAAGTAAAAATTAGGTTATACAGGATGTCCAAAAAATCGTTCGCAATATTTTAGGAAGTAATTAGAGATCCAAAAAGAAGGAAAAAAAGATATATAAACATAAATCCGGAAATAAGTCGTTTTTAAGTTATAATCACTTTTATGTCAAAAAATCGTAACTTTTTTCATAATNATAATCATAATCAACATAATTTATTTCATTATTTGTTTTATAATTTAAAGTATTTAATACGATATAATTATAATATGACTATTATTGATATATNAAAAGTTGACAGTAATACGGTCACTTAGTTGCCAGTATTAGGANCAAGTGACAGTATTATGATCATTTGAGTGTGTCAATATTAGGAACGACACGATTGAGCACTTGACAGTATTAGGTGCATTGGTTATGTTTATTATTATATTAATTGAAAAATAGAAAATCAATCTTATTTAATATTTCCTATTTTATTCTTCAATCTTATACTAAGAAAAAACTGAAAAAAAATTAAGATATCGAAATATCATCGGTTATATATATATATTTAATTGAACGTAATTAAAGTGTCTGCTTAATATGCCAGTAATTGGGTCTTTTACCCTACATCTTATCCATTGCTGACTTCTTTGTGGAATTTTATATGAATTTTTTTTACTGACAATTTACTGACATTCCTTGTTGTCTTTGGGAACACAAAATGAACTGTTTAGTTGCCATTTCTGAAAAATAAAAGCAACTCATTGCTCTTTTAACTGAGCTCAATGCTGAACTTTTTAAAAATTCTTGGTGCCATTTGGGATGATAGTGTTAAGTTTCAAGATTTTATAAAAACCGTTTTATTTTGAAGAAAGAGTACGTAATTTCAAATTATATTGGTTTATATTATTTTATTGATAATTTCAATATGTATCAAACACAAACGCAAATAAATAAATAAATAAAATATTTTATTATAAAATAGACAATAACTATAACATTTTATAGCATTGGTTTCGATGTTCACAAACTTATTTTCACACTTTACTTATTTGTTTATTATTATCTCAAGTCTGTGAGTTCGAGTGTTTATAGTAATATTTAGTAGAATTTCGAGCATGGTTGCATAGAAACTGCTCGCAACGAGTTGACAACACTGATAAAAAAGTTTTAGAAAAAAAAAGTTTTTGTAGTAAAAAAATGTTTTCTAGTATATAATTTTACAGAACAGGTTTTATAGAGAAAAAATTTTTTGTAGTATTAAATCAATTTTTAATTTATTAATTTAAATACAATACGTGTTATGCGTGTACTTGGCGCCTGTTTTTACTTTTTCTTGAAAAGCTAAGTTCTTCGACATATTACACATTTTGTATTTTGCAGTATTATTTAAGGTAATTATTGAGTATAGGGGATTAAGGTCCGATGACCTTGATTTTGATGTATGTTGTAAAGGGCACTCTCCTGAGTAGTGTTCAAAAGGTTTTAGGCGGCGCTCGTTTTTTATTAAACAAATATTTATCGGAAATGTTTGAAAACCGCGACTTTCATTTGCATAAATAACATGTAAAGTAATGAATCGGAATACACATTTGCTCTCAGGTATCAGTTCTTAGAAGACATTCAGACTTACTGATACAATTGTACACATTTATAAGCGGTATTGTTGACTGTTACTCAGTTTATGTTTCGGAGCGTGAAATAGCTTATCTATCATTCCGAGCAGTTCCACATATGTGCGAAGTCATTGTAGAAGGCGAATAACTTTCGATATGATGTTCCATGAATTTCTGCATTTGACACATAAAATATTGAACGCTTATGGCGTGATATTCAAGGTGGAATTCCACGATACGGTACCCGAACGGAACATTATATTCATTATTTAGCCGAATTTGTCTTCAAACGTAACGTTCAGTATCACCATCGGATTGATAGATTTTTCGACATTATGGCAGCTTTATATCCCATTCATGATGTAGAAAGTACAGAACAACAAGAATACAATTATATTAAATTATAACAGTACATTACAATGACTACTTTTCTTATGTTCTTCTTGTTCGTGTTGTAAGCGTGCAGGCAGGGGGGGCTACGCCCCCCCGCAGAGGGAGTGGCTTCGCCCCTCCCCCTGCTCCCTCCTTCGAAAAAGAAATGACTTCCGATTACATTCGCTTCATGTCAAAAGTGTGTACTTGAATTTCGGGAAGAGCAGGGAGAGGGGCGAAGCCACTCTCCCTGCGGGGGGCGTAGCCCCCCCTGCCTATACGCTTACAACATGAAAATTACACCTCTCAATTGTTTTCGACGGTCATTTTTCTAATTATATTTTTTAGGAATATTTTTTTAATAAAAAACGAGCACCACCTAAAACCTTTTGAACACTACTCAGGAGAGTGCCCTTTACAACATATATCAAAATCAGGGTCATCGGACCTTAATCCCCTATACTCAATAATTACCCAAATTATATCGGAAGGTGTTGCCGGCGCGAAACAACTACGCCGCGATAAACTGTACCGCGCTCACTACGATTGGAGGTATTGCCGGAGTCTGAATTTTCTGCAAAATTTGTTTATTCTGTTTTTTGAATTAATTATCTATTTCATAAATTTAAAGTATACAGTTTGTAGAGTTATTTTGTGTTACGTTTCAAAACAATTTATTTAAAAAAAGTTATATCGAAATTAGTGGTGCGAAAAAAATTGTTTTATTCGTTTTCTGAATTAATTTTTTATCATAAATTTATTATAAAATAAAAGTTTATAGTTTGTAGGTATTTCGTGTCAAGTTTCAAAACAGATTATTAAAAAAAGTTATATTAGAGGTGTTGCTGGCGCAAATAACGCCAACCACTATCCGTACGTTTTGATTTTTTCTTTCTCTCTCTAACTCACAGTCCTGTCTTTCTTTCTTTTTCTTCTTTTAACGCGCTCGTATATGAATACTATGTGTTAGAACTTATACGAACATGCACACATTTCTTATATTCTTGTCTGGAGACATCTTAACATGATTCTTATGTAGAAAAAAATATATTCTTAATATCTTCGACTAGAAGCCCGGGAAAAAAATGGATTAAATCTAAATAGATCTAATTTAAATCTAACAAGATAAAAAAAAATGGAAAAAGAGATCTAATTACATCTAAGTAGATATAAAGTTGATCTAAACAGATATAAATAGATCTATGTAAATTTACACTTTATTTATCAGTTGTGACGTGGTGGTCGCGCCGCTCTCCCCCTTGCCACAAAAGGGGTATCTTTCGAGGGAGTCCCGAAGTGCGGGCCGGTCTCAAGCGCC